GGGGGGGGGGGGGGGGGGGGGGGGGGGGGGGGGGGGGGGGGGGGGCAGAGAGAGAATTAGGCCCTCGAGTTGGCGTTTTGTTTGCGTCGAATCATTGGATGCCGGAAAGTAGAACCACGGCGATACGGCCGTGTCCCCTAAGTCGTGTTTTTTTCCTCGCCTTGTCCGGCGTCTTTTCAATTTACCGTTCTTCTTTCGAAGTGTGAGTAGGACATCGAGGGCGCCCGCGTCCTTGGTTTGGTAGGGAACTTTGGTTCCGATGACGGTTCGCTTGGTGCGTGGGGGGAGGCTTTCATGATGAGGTTTGGGGCTGATGACTGTTGGCTGAATGCGGGAGGTGACAACTCAAGCGGAAGAATTCTTTGTCCACTGAAGTAGCCCCTCTCCCCCGAAGCTCAACATACCGCGGCGGCGCCCCCAGTACAATGCAGCAACATCACACGGGCATGCAGCAGCAAGATGACCCCTCCTCGGATGAAATCGCCTGCTTTCTTTCCTGTTGCCTTCAGGAGGGCGTGGCGATTCGTGCGGGGCACCACTGCACACAGGCTTTGCATCGACAGCTTGGGGCGGCCGGCAGCCTTCGGGCCAGCCTGTACATCTACAACACCAAGGACGACGTCGACCAATTCATCGAGGTGCTGCTGCCGCTGTTGATGATGATAGTGGCGTACGTCTGTCTCTTTGTTGCTGCTTCGAAGGCGTTTCTGTCGACGGACCATGGCTAGTCCTCAACCTCCTGTTCTTTACCCTCCCCCCACGTACTGGGTGGGGTATGAGAAGTATGAGAAGTGGCCTAAGCAGGCGCGAAGACAGGATGGGGAGCAGTTTTTGAGCCACCATTGGCAAGGTAGAAAGGAAGGATTGGCCATGGGTCCTGTGGGAACAATCCTCCACCTGTCCTCTCGAGGACGCGTGGTCAGCGATCCAAGAGCTATGGCGCTGCCCCCCCGTTATTACCGCGCTTGACAAGCCACCCCCTAGCATGCTGTGCTCCCCTTTCCCCTTAACACCACCGCCCCCCTGCTCACTGGCTTTCCTCCTTGCAGGCGTTGCGGTCAACCTTGGATATGTTTAAAGCAATGGGTGGCGATGGCGGTGGAGCCGGAGGGGGTTTGGTTGGAGGAGAACCTTCCATATTCTAGGACGGGGTTAAAACCAGGAGGCCAATCTTATCGCTGGAGGAGACAACAACTGTTGGAATCTCGAGGAGACTTGCTTGCGGGTGGTGGATCGGTTTCCTGTTGCTCGGGGAGCACGTAGTTGCGACGTTGAAACGATCCGTCCACGTAGAGTTGTAGGCAGCAAGACCATCATTAAGCACCAGGAGTAGAAAAAGAGAGAGCGTAACTTTACAACGTCCACGGTAGGCGTGCAGACAGACCTGCCTGCCGACCAATCCGAAACCTACGGTGTGGATGGACCAACTGCCCTTCTTGTCCGAACTACACGCACAAAGACAAAACCATCTGAATCCCGATACGATAGGCACTTCTACACGACGTGACTGGTCCAAGTGCACGCCGTAGCAACACCGCTCGTTTTCGTCGGCGTGTTGCCGAGTCGACAGGGCAGCTCGCAATGTCTCATGGCGCAAAGACTTGGGTTATTTGGCACGCTGCATTTTGCTCTCGCGGAACACGTGCCGGACGTTTCTCACCAAAATTAGCCGCGACGCGTGTTTGAAGCCTCGATTGGATTTTCTCGAGTGGAGCAAATACACAGGCGTAGGTTGTGTAAGCCCGCGCTGTCTCCTCCGTGCAAGTTTGGCGCCAAAAAGTCTTCGCAGGACTTTTAGAAACCGCGTCTATCTGCTCCTNGATAGACGCGGTTTCCAAAAAGTCTTCGCAGGACTTTTAGAAACCGCGTCTATCTGCCCCTCCACAGCCAAGTTATTCGTTTTTCGATTTCCCCCCCCCCCCCCAAATGACACACACCGAAAGCTAAGACAAAAAAAACAAACACAATATTTAAAGCCGACGCCCAGCGGCCTGAGTAGCGATCCCATCGCCCGTCTTACAAGACTGTTGACACGTCGGCAGCAAATCTCAGCGTCACTGTGTACGTGCGCGCTGCGTGTTTGCGTGTTGGTGCGCAGATGCTCAGGGAGCAACGACGAAGGCGCGACGAAAACTTGTCCTAGGCGCCCAGAAACACGGGAAGAAAAACGTACGAAAGAACGGTCATGGTAAAAAACTATTTTCCATGCACATCAATGTCAAACCACACAAAGCGGCAGTCCTGTGGTGGTTGAGGCCATGTGTACCATCCCGTTGAAGACAGACCACCGGTCAATCAGGTTGCGCTTAGATACATGGCAGGGTAGGGCGCTCGTTTGGTGTATACCTTCCAAAGAGAAAAAGATACACNGAATGAAATCCCCCCCCCCACCACCACCACCACCAAAAAACAAAGTCCAAGTCACGGCCCCCCTGGTGGTCCCTGCCTATGTTACATTTGTTTCTCTCCTGGTCTTGGGGTACTACAGTAGAGCCACCAGTACGGTATCGTCGTCAGTGTTGCTGCAACCATGTGAGGCGCGGTGCCTCGAATCACCGCACCGTGGTAGACACCGGAAAGAACACTATTTCCCTCCGAAGCCACATACAACTACAACCAGGTGTCTCAACCAAAAAGCGGGCAACAACGCGATTGACTGCTCTTCGGCCATACAGAGATTACGAGCTGGCAGACATGCTCCCGACTGACTGTAGCTGTGGCCCAGCAGCTGAAGAAAGTCGAACAGGGAGAGGCGGCTGAGGGTGGCGGCGGTTAGGGTACGCTCTGCCCGTTGTTTGAGCTGTCCCCCCCACGGCAAAAACTTTTTTCCCTCCCCCCTCCTCCGATTAAACCGGGTATAAGGACGCGCGCCCAAGTGGGAGTTTCACGTCAGTCGTTGGTTGTGCACCGCTCACCGCCAAGGACAGGGGGGCCAGAGGCACGGGAGGAGAGGTGCAGCGCCGGGGGCGATCATACAAAAACTCCCCAATCCACAAACGACAAGCCACCACGTGGCGGTAGGCAATATCACTACCAGCAGCACCATGGCGACGCATCTTCTGTAGGGTTGCCCTGGTCGCTCAACCATTCCGCCCTGTTCGTGGTCCAGAAAGTCGGGCTGGAAGCTCCAAAAATCGCCATCACCCCCCCGCTCCCAGCGCACGCTCCATGCGACTCGCCGGGCGAGCGATTCGCACTTGGTGGTGTGATAGCCTGATCGGGTGAAAACCCGACGTACTCCGTTCCGGTTTTGTATGGATAGGAAGGTCAATGGTCTCACGAGAACGGCATAGACGGCTATGAGTACACACACCCCCCCGCTCAGGCGCCCGAGAAATTCGGACGAGGCTGAGGTTCTCGCGCCGGTACGGTACGTCATCGCACCTCGTCCTCGGTGCACCTGCAGGCGGGTTGGTCGGAAGAAAGGTGATTGTTTAAGGCTTGCTTGCCGTGTGCGGGTTAGATGTCTGCCGCAGCTGTTTCGATTGTCTCTGGGATTCAGAACGCTTCTCCAACACAAAGAGATCCACGAAGACGCACGCACACGCGCGGTACGACGAGCGTCAGATGTACAACCATCTGTTGCACCTCACACGATCGGTCTTCTTTCTTTCAGCGCAGTGCGCCATAAGGAACACCGTCGATACCGCAAGACATGCAAAAGTTTGTCTTGGTTTGTTGATATTTCAGGTCTCGAAGGCCTGCCTCATATGGGGCAACATGTTAAAGCGACAATCGACGAAGAGTCGATGTTGTTGACTGCCGATCACGAGCGGTCTTCATATTTTGTGACGATAACAACAACAGCGAGGAGCAAAAAAAAAAAACAGCTGGTGTAACCGAGGTCTGGCTTGTCTTCACAGAATAGAATGAACGGAAGAAACATCAACCAAAGCCGACCAAGGGTAAGAGTGGCACAACAACAGAAAACTAAATCGAGATGTCCACGCCTTGAGCGACACCAAAAAAAAAGTAGAAAAAAAGCAAGGCCCAAGAAATGACAGGCGATGTGGCGCACTTTCAACGATCCCCCGAAACGACAAGTATTTCGCAAAAAAAAACTGGAACACGAGCCAGCGACACTGCAGCTCACATGAGATTCGGAACACCTTCAGCGATGGGAAACCTGCGTCCGGTCTCGGGACAGACGAGAGTGCCCTCCACGACGTGCATGTCCATCAAGACGCGATGCAAAGCCTCCAAGAAGGAAGAGTCTTCCAGAAGCTCCGGCGTTAACGCTGGTGGGAGAGACCCCTCGGGCATGCCAATCTGGACGAAGGAGCACACGGGGCCGGCCACCAAAGGGAAGATGTTCACAAGAGATGTCTGTCTCTTGTTTGGAAACACGTTCAATTGCAAGAGTTTCACACAAGATTTCTGCCTTCCATCGGAAGGCACATGTTTCTTAGAAGAGTTTCACACAGGATGTCTATCTGCCTGTCTCTCGAAGGCACACACGGGCCACACCAGTCTGCCTCTCGTAAGACACTTGTTTTATTGCGGAGGGTTGGTCCGATACAGAAAATCGCGTGTGTTTTCACGCAAAGCTTGTTTTCTTGTTGTGCCTTAACCTGTAGTTGACGATGAAACAAGAAAAAAGGGCTGAAAGAAGAAAACAGGTTGGTTTCCCTGTGAGGTACACTGGAACAATTCTGGAACAATTCTCACATCGGATTTGGAAGCTTGAAAACCGCTATACTATACTTTTGAATCGTCTCCGCTTAAGATAGGACCACAGCACTTGGACGGAATCAGGGCCAGAAGTCCTCACCAGGAAGGAATTTTGGTTTCAAATACTGCATTGCTTTCTTAGAAATAAGACGTTTTTACAGCTACAACGGCCACGCCTACGGTTTCAGATTAGAGGCGGGGAAATACGATTCCGCTCGACTACATCTTCAGGAGCACAAACCTGTTTCCAATTTTCATGAGTGCGAACGCTGGCGAGATATTCGACTTGCTCCACAGGTCGATTGATCCACAACCAAGGGGGTGCGAGACCCTGCCGACACAAACAAGGAAGAAACTCGAAGAGAACTTTCCGACGCAACCCTCTCCCGGTATCGACGACCTCTTGGTTGCGGGGGCAGATACACTATTGACAGTCCCTAGTACAGCGCGACAGCGATCAATCGCACTTTTCGGTATTCATATTGCTTACGTGGGTGCCTGTGGGTTGCAGCAGTAGCGTTTATGGGCCTGAAAAAGAGACTCGGAAATTGATACTGCTTGCTGTTATCGATGTTACGGTCGGGGGTAAGAGTATGTTGCTGTAATAGGGCTATGGTAGGATAAGAGCAGGTGGGTTTGATGGCAAGCCAATACAAACATCACGATGTATTTCTGCGCCACTCAAAACAACACGCGTCGGGGGTAAACGCTATACCCGACAAGCGTTTGCATGATGCGGAGACACAAAAATAGACGGACAACTTCCTGCACAAGCGTGGTTTTGGCTGAAAACTCAAAGTAAGTGCGACACCATTTGGCCGCGACCGTCGCTCCAACAGCGTGACCCCGGACTGCAGTTGGGAAAAATTGAGCATCGCTTCACATGCATACCTCGGCTGCCGCTTTGCAGAGCGCCCCCCAGTCCAAAGTGGTCGCCATGTGCTTGACGAACTCTTTTTTGACCTCTGATTCCACCATCTGGACGGTAGCGGGGTAAGGACGCCAAGAGGGAGAGACGGATATGGTTACTGTAGGAAAAGGGCAGGAGCTACTTGAATAACGAAAAGAGACTAGACTGGTGCTGTATGAGAGGCAGGTGTTGATGGAGATCCCAGATCCCACTACAGCAGTGTCGTATCCATCCTGCCTGGTATTCACCGAGGCTGGAATAGGACGTGACAGAACACGAACAGATATAAGACAACCTCGAGCCTTGTGGGAGCCCACATGGTCATTGACGTCCACAATCTCCGTGCCACTTCGTTTCTACGGGACACACGAGAGACCCCGCCTGCGTTGGCGGAGAACGAGGATACCACTTTACACGCGAGGCAATCCCGCACGGAGGCACGAACCATCGCTCCTCCAGCAGTATCAGAGATAATAGCCTACAAAAACAAACAACATCCTGACGATAAGCTCTGCTATTTGGAGGGAACTCGTTAGTCCTGTGTCTTGTCTTGTCTAACCTGTACGTCGGTCGCCTCGATGCGTAGGGGGTAGCCCTCCACCACTCCCTTCATCGGGGATCGGAGAACATTATGAGTGAGCAGGCGCATAGCGAAGCCCAGCGGTGGCAGGCGATGGCCGATTGACAGCAGCCTGTAACCCTCCTTTCGGTTTTCGTCGGGTCTAAACGACACGCGCCGGCACGCGGGTGTGTGTATGTGTAATCAGTTGGTGTGTCCCAGGCGGGTTAAGCCTCTGTACTCCGTAGCTGTTCTTTGTGTGCACTCTGCTGTGAACTGCTGTGGAGGTTCGTGTACGGAACCAGTTCCAATACAGTTGTATACTTGGTTCGATTTTCGGTGTTCTTTCAAGATAGGCCGCAGGCCCACTGTGCGGCAACCGCAGGTTGCCGCAACGCCACAACGCCACGCCGGAGGCGTGTTGCGACACTTCAGCCCCCCGCAGGACCCCCACGGGAGGGCGCGCCCGCCGTGGGGGCCTCCCGGAGGGGCCGCCGGGGGCAATGTTTGGGACGATATTCGACACATTTCTTGCAAAATTAGTGAAAAAATAGCATTAAAGTCTAAACGCTGCGTGCTGATGTAGGAAAACCAAAGTAGCGTTTACCAAGAAAGAATTCACAGCGATGACTCTATCGCTCTCTCAACTTAAAGCAGATCTCGCTCATAGAAAGTATACCGTGCTCTGCTGGATGTCAGCTTTCTGTCGAGCTCTCTTGCATCACCAAGCAGTCTGTAGGTGGCTAGTCTAGACGAGTATCGAAATGAAGGCATGTACGACTCTTCTGTGAGGGTGTGTCAGCCAGCTTGATGTTCCGGTTGGCATTGTCGATTTTCGATTTCGAGTCTGTTCGTGCTTGCTTTTGATTTTTGATTTCATCAATATGACCCAACGAATCCATCTCTCCTCTTTCGAAGAAAAGAGTCTAAGGTAGATTGCAATGAATCCATAGCATCAGCGAATTTTATTTTTCCATATCGGAGAATATTCGGAGCACTTAGGCCCATGTTTATGGTTTCCAAATCTTTATCTTCCTTTGTTTGGACAAATGTTGGCTTATTCGACCTAGTGGGCAGTCTGCCTCCCGAACGAATGCGAATCAGCTGTTCGACCTTTGAGAACAGTCACAGCTTTGGCTGAGATGTCTACAGATCGCCTACATTTTTCGCCAGGGCCCAGATTTGATTTTTTCAAGGTGCGCCATTTTCAAGCAAGATTTTTCCAACACCAGCTTTTGGACAGATCTTGGCCCAAGATTTGCGCCGAGGTGGCCTTTCGGCCGAATCTTCAACACCTTGCTCTGCTGGAAAAAACTGAAACGTGGACCCTGGCGAAACATGTAGGCGATCTGGAGACATCTCAGCCACACAAAGCTGTGACTGTTCTCAAAGATCGAACAACTGATTCGCACTCGTTCGGGAGGCAGACTGCCCAAAAGGTCGAAAAAGTCTACATTTGTCGAAAGAAAGGAAGATAAAGATTTGGAAACCATAAACATGGGCCTTACCCCCAGATCGAAAACCGGCGGCGGAACACTGCAGCTCCTGTCCAATCAATTTACGATTTTCGACGGAATAGTGGTCTGACAAGGTCCACCCTCAAGGGCGCCAAAAATGAATCCGACACCTACCCGGCAGAACTTTTTTTCATACCCCTCA